TAAATTAATTCTAGGAGTCTTTTGAGGTCTTTTACATAGATGATCATATAATCTCCAAATAACAATGTAATTATTTCTTTCCTATACATATGTCTTTAATTTCTTTTTCTTACTTGATTTTCTAACTAATATGTTCAGAATTATTTTGAACAGAAGTGGTAACAGTGGATATATCCTTGTATTGTTCCTGATTGTAGAAGGAAAGCTTTCTACTTCCCCCACCTAATATGAGTTTCATCATTGGTTTGTCATAGGTGGCTTTTACGATATTAGGATGAGGTTCTTCTACATCTATTTTATTCGGAATTCTCATCATGGATGGTTATTGTTTTTTGTCAAATATATGTTTTGTGTCTATTGGGATGATCATGTGTTTTTTGTCTGGATCCTCTTGATGGTGGGCATTACATTTTTTATTTGTACATATTGAATCATCCTTGTATTTGTGGAATGAATCCTACTTTATCATGATGTATGATCTTTTGGATGATTTGTTGCATTCTGCTTTCTAGTTTCATATGAAAGATTGTGCATCTATGTTCGTGAAAGTGATTGAGCTGTAGTTCCCTTATTTGATTGGATTTGTTACTGGTTTGGGGATCAGGCTAATGTTTGCTTCTGGGGATGACTTTGAGAATCCTACTCCCCATTTAATTTTGTTAAGGAGTTTGCAAAGTATTTACATTAGATTGTTAATGTTCTTGTGGAATTCAACCATGAATCCATCAGTACATGGGCTTTCCTTAATTTGAAGGTTTTTAATGCATAACTTCTTCAATTTAAATAACTGATACAGAATTATTTGGAATTGTTGCACCTTCTTATTTCAGCTTTGGGAGTTCATATATATCTAGGAATATATACATTTCTTCTGAATTTTCCATTTTGGTTTTTTTTTTTTTCATTTTGTTTTGTTTTGCTTTTTGAGTCAGGGTCTCACTATGTAGTTGAAACTGACCTGGAATTCACTATGTAGCCCAGGCTGGTCTCGAACTCACAGTGATTCTCTTGCCTCAGCCTCCTGAGTGCTGGGATTACAAGTGTGTGCCATCACTCTCAGCTCGAATTTCCCATTTTGTTAAGTTCTTAAAGTATTTATTAATGTTCTTCAGGATTATGGTTTGAGCCATTGTGATTTCAAATTTTCCCTTTCTTTCTTTTCCTTCCTTCTTTTCCTTCCTTCCTTCCTTCCTTCCTTCCTTCCTTCCTTCCTATGTAGCTTCCTTTCTTTCGTTCTTTCTTTCTTTCTTTCTTTCTTTCTTTCTTTCTTTCTTTCTTTCTTTCTTTTTCTTTCTTTTGTACCAGTGATCAAACTCCAGACCTTGCTCTTGTGAGGCAGGTGCTGTACCACTGAGCTCCATCCCCAGCTCAAATTTTCCATTTCTTACTGCTTGGATTTAGGTTTATTCTTTCCTTGTTTTGGTAAGAATGGCTAGGAGCTTGTCAACTTTTTTATGTTTTCAAGGAATAAACACTTCAATTTATTCCTTCTTTCTATTTTTTTTTAGTTTCTGCAAGGGTTTGACAAATTAATGCCTAGCTTTTAAAATCCAGAACAATTTGGACTGGACTCTGGCTACCAGGGCAAGGCTTGTGCACTTCCTAGCTGAGCTCAAAACCTTCAATGTGTGTCTTTCTCATCTGCTACCACAGCTGTTTTCTGAGATTGTCTCTTAACCAGTCACTGTGAAACACTGACAAGGGAAACCCAGAAGTGAAGCTGTCTCATGGCTGTCCTGAGGTCCAGGTTTAAACACTCACGCCTTTCCTGGAAAGGAACCCAAGCCCGTGCACTCTACAAGGATATGGCAGGCACCTGATAGGGGTCAATCTCTTGCTGGTTCCTGTGTAAGGACTCTGTGGGAGCAGAACTCCACACTGTTCCTGCAGGTCACAGCAACTACCAGTCTACTGAGCCACCACTGCCTTTTCTTCCTTGGCCATGTTGGAGTCTCCAGGTTTCACTTACATTCTACATGTTCAATACTTTTCCCAAGAGCCAGAGGTCAGGGAAAAACTTCAGAATGATTTTTTTTTTTTCCCGTACTCAGTGATATAGTCTGTCACTTAAATTTGCTGTAGTATTTTTATTAGTATGTGTTTACATTACATAACAATCACATTCATCATCAGGGATCTGTATATGTACATTATACATTGTAATTTTTCTCTTCTCCCCTTCACCTCCCCATTTAGAAAAGCTGTATTTTTTGCATTCCATTCAATTCTTTTTTCCTATAAATTCTTTTTCCCTTCCATCCCTTCCCACTTCCATCCCTTTTGTTTTCCTTCCTATTTGAACAAGTTATTCCTATTTCCTTATATTTATCTTCAGTTTTTCTCCTTGTTTATACTTTGTGTTTCCCACACAAGAGAAACAGTGCAGTGTTTAAAATAATGTATTTCACTCAAGGTTATGGTCTTGAGGTTTATCCAATTACCTAAAAATGTCTCAAGTTTATCCTTCTTTATGGTGTAGAGTACTCCATTGTATATAAACAACACATTTTCTTTATCCTTTCATCTGTTGATGGACATATGGGGTATAGCAGCACAGTTTATAGTAGCTAAAGCTTAGATACGGTCTCTGTAGTTTTCAATTTTTGTGTCACTTCTTTTTGGATTCCTGGGGATCTATCTTTTCATCTGCTTTTTCCTCTCCCTCAGTGGGATTTCCCGTAGTGTGTATTTTGAATCTTGGAATTACTCTTGTTCATTACTCTGCTATTTTCTATCTCTAAGGGACTGAAGGTCACCTACATCCATAATATAATGTTTGTAAGTGGAAGAATTCAGAGAGGTCAGGACCTTGGTCCAAGAGGAGACCATAAGTCAGCAGAATAAGCTAAATTTGGTTTGTAAATGGAGGGTCCCAGGAGCTGAGAGATCCAAAGTATGGACCCTTCCTGTGGACTGAGGGTGTTTGCAGCCCAGAAGCAGCAGACTTACAGAAGCTTCCCATTACCCAGATTAGCCCTGGGAAGCTCTAATTGGTATGATCACTTCTACCATGGCTTGGAAGTGAGTCTTTAGGGGATCTCTGGAGAGAACAGCTCATCTCTGGTGGGGGAGGGTTGGGGGAGGGCAGGCACCAACAGGAGGAAAATGAAGAAAGCATAGAAGCACGTAGGAGATACCTTGCTTATGGTCTTATTGCTAAGACACAATACATGATATCTGCAGTTTAGTGGGAGAAAGTTGATTTAAGCTTACAATTTATGGAGATTTTAGCCCATAGTCAATCAGATCCATGCAGAACAGAAAAGAGAAAGGGCCTGGTGGGAGGAAAGCAGCTCATCTCAAGTTCTCCAGGAGGCTGACAGTAAAAGGAGGGGCTAGCAAGGAAGATATAACCTGCCTTGTCACAGCCAGAGGAAAGTTCTTTCTCCCTAGAAGGACCTGCCTCTTAACAGCATGTCAACTGTAAACCCCCATAATGTAATTACTTTCCAAGGTCCTGCCTGTGACATCATGAGACAATGGGGAGGAAATTTAGATGTAAAAGATAACAGGAATCTTGAATCACAGGAAAAATGGGCACAGCTCTTACTGTCAGCTCTGAAGTACCTATGGAGTGATGTGATGGGTGCCTACTCATTTCTTACGAGAATGCTCTAGATCTCAGGGACATAAGGGACTTGATCTAAATTTCTGTCTTCAGGTAGGCACAGGGAACATCATCTGGTCAGGAGACACACAGGTGCCCCAGGATCTGCCAAGAGTCAAGATGATGACCCTAAAGTGGGATTTAGGATATTCCCAACCTGAACACAGAGAGATGGGTGTTCCTCTGTTATCAGACTTGTACTTGTCATCATCTGAGGAAGACGTGGCAGAGCTGTTATGCTGAGACTGCTCTCTTGGCCCTGGATCATTAGTCTCAGTGAGGTGAAGGCCTTTGTACAAGAGGGTAGGAACTGAGACAGCAGAACTAAGATCCTAGAGTCTATCCAGGGTCTTGGTGAGTCAGAGAGAACCCACTCACTTGAACACAGTATTCTAGCCCCAAATTGTCCCTTTTGTCACCTGTAGTCAGACATAGGGAACATAGGTGGACTCAGCAATATTAGCAACTATAGCAATATTGCTGTGCTTTAAAGAAGGTGGCTTATAGTCATTACAGGAAGGGTTCTACCCCTAAACACTTACCAAGATAAAACTGGGACAGATTCTTTTTCCTTGGGCACACAGACACCACTGGCATTTCCACCTGCAGCTGTTGCCCCCAGAATGATGTGTCCAAATGTATGTCCTCTCAGTGCCTTTTTCCCCCCATAAGAGAGGGAGACACTTTTTCTGAGAGCTTGCCTCAGCCTAGTGAAGGACTGGGGTCTAGGCCCTGCTGAAGGACAGGTGAGGATATGTAGTGAGCAGAGAGGAAGCCATCCACACATAACACTGGAGTGCTAAAAAGTCCAGCCCAGCTCTACTGTGAGGGCTGGAGGAGCAGGACTGCGCTTGCTCTGTTGGAGAACTAGAGATTTCCTTTATGCTTCTAACAGGTTATCCAGGAACCAGTCTGTGAAGGTCTTGTTGTGGAGCAGTGTCATTAGGTGACACAGCAGAGCAGTTCAAGTGTCAGGGTTGAAGGCGAGGTGTAGGTCCTTATGTATACCTAGGGCTCCTCCTGCCTCAGAACAGGAAACCTCACATACCCAGGTTGCATATGCAATACTGTCTTCCCTAGAGCCTTGTACTCTGCAGTTCAAGTGCAGACTGAGAACCACCCTCATTTCATGTCCCAGGATCATGGGGACAGTGCCATCAGGATATTAAGAACCTGTGAAGACCTTGGGTACCCCCCAAAGAGAAGACCTATAATGCACCTTTGTGGGAGGCAAGAGTGCTATTCTTCCTTTCTCTTTCAGGCATCTAGGACTTCAACAGCAAGCTCTTGATGTTCTCATGGAACATGATATTGTCCCATGGTCAGGGGAGCCAAGACCATCCTGCCCAAACTAGTACACAGGTCCTCATGAGTGTACAGGTTTTTAAGGACAATGAGGAGAAAGCAAAAGCCACTACTCCCTCTGAATTCTCTAATTGGAGCCATACTAAGAGAAAAGCCTGGGCCTGGGACACCAAGTTATCCTGAGAATCCTCAGGGCATCCCGTCTCACCCCAGTGCCCTGGCATCCACTGCAAGGAGCCAATGTTGTGAGGGCTCAGGCAGGCAGGAGGAGGCATGTCCGAGTCCCTCTCAGGACAAGGATGCCACCCAGATCAAGCACAATGATTTAGCAGATAATGAGGTAGATAAAATGGTGCCATTCCTGCTCCACAAGTATCAGCAGAAGGAGCAGGTCACCATGGAGGAAATGCTGCACGTCGTGCATAATGATTACTGTGAGCACTTCCCTCAGATGTTTGGGGAACTCTGTCAGTGCATGTGTCTGTGCTTTGGCATTGAGATGAGGGAAGTGAATCCCCCTGGACACACATATGAGCTTCTCCCCGTCCTGGGCCTCACTTTTCAGGGGATCCTGGATGATGACGTCCAGATCGTTCCCAAAGGGAAACTCCTGATGGGCATCCTGAGTGTCATGATGGTGAAGGGTAACTGTGTCAGTGAGGAGGACCTAAGGGCACTGCTGATAGATATGAAGCTATTAAGTGAGAGGGAGCACGTTATGATTGGGGATCCCTGGAAGTTCATCACAGAGGATTTGGTGCAGGAAGAGTACCTGGTGTATCAGCAGGTTCCTGATAGTGATCCTGCTCGTTATGAGTTGCTGCGGGGTCCCAGGGCCCAGGCGGAAACCACCCCGATCAAAGTCCTGAATCACATCTTCAGTCTTGATAGGACAGATCCCAGGTCTTACCCCCATCTGTACGAACAGGCTTTGAGAGAGGAAGAAGGTCTGTTTGAGGCCTTTGAGGGTGAAGGTGTGTGACAGGGATGGGGCGTGTTCTACCACCAAGTCACTGCTGAGTCCCCACCGCCTGTGAAATGAGGCCCATTCTCAGTCTGTGTCTGGAGAGCAGGCAGTTTGTAAGAAGTGAGGCCAGAGGTGGTGATAAAATACTGTACCTGACATCCTGGTGTCTTCTATTTGTATTACTGAGAAATTGACCGCTGTTTCCTATATGAGTTTTTTTTTCTTTTTTTTTTTCAGCTTTAATTGAGTTTATTGGTACATTTTAGGGATACAGTACAGTTACATTCATTGTTGGGATCTTGTACCTCTACGTGACAAGTCTTGGTTCTCATTTTTTCCCCTTGATGTCTTGTTCCTGTTTTGCAAGATTGAAGTAGCTCAGAAAACTTCAGTAAAAAATGGTACTCATCTCACATGCATTTTTAGCTTTCTGATATTTATGTTTGTGATTTGAGTTGTAAATGTGATTTTGTGTGATATTGATCACAAATGTATTTTGGTCTCCCAATCCAATTGTAAGAGCCTTTCCTGTTTTGTAATATAAAAAGGGGTACCTTTCATTTTATTTATAATAAAGTATGAATTATCTTGGAAATGTTTAAGTTTATATGAAGTTAGATGGACCTAGAAATAGACATAAGGAAAAAAAAATCAATTCTTCCATTCTTCTTTCTTTTTCACTATTGCCCCATGCTATTAAAATACACATATACCAAAAAAATATACAGATGTGCTTAGCTTAATGTGCTTAGTTTCTTCAACTGTGCTTTGGAAATTTACTCTCAATAAAGATTCCCATCTGATCAGGGACACACAGACTCCAAACTTTAATTGCGCACGTGCACTCTGGGAGGCCCTGTGTCTGTGGTGGAGACATGAGTAAACCAGATTGAGCAGGATCAAGCTACCCGCTAGTTTGGTAGAGTCCAGGAGTACCAGCAGTGTCTCCCAATAGAGGGATGTCCTCACAGACATAAAGGGCAGGTTACAGAGCGCTGCGGGAGTGGAGTCTAGCAGAGAGAGGCCATGGTGAGTGCTGAGCCATGGAATTTTCAGGCTTGGAGTAACTGCAGTTCCTTCTACAGGAGTTGATTTTAATGCAGCTGCATGGAGGCCAAGGCCACACCTTCAGATGAGGTATCTTGGACCTGAGATAAAAGCCTGAGAGGATGGAAGACTGCTCTGGGCAGTGCTTTTAGATGATGGGTGAAGCTTTGATGAATATTCACCTGGGACAGCAATGAGAAGAGTGGTCCTATGCAGGAAAAGAAATAGCGGACATATGCAAAGTCTCTGCAAGGATTTCATGAGCCATAAGGGTGACTCTCAGGTGAAGTGAGGCACTAAAGACCCTGATTAGGCACTATGGTGTCTGCTAGGAGTGTCTGCTATCCAGGGTTTTGTAGGGCTCTGTTGACTGCTTTCTTCGGAACAACTTCTCCTTGTGAATCCAGTTTGCCTCAACACTTTTACAAAATGGATGTGAGCATCTGCGCAGTCGCACTGACCGGTTACAGCAGTGGTCGGGTGACTGCCTGGCCAAGTGGTTCTCCCTCCAGAGATCCTTCTCAGGGTTCATGAGTGTCTTCCCTGTCTTAAACCAGGACTCCACTGGGGCTCTTTTCAGTTATGTCCTTTGTGCAGGAAGTTTATGGTATTAATATCGGGGTATTTGATTTTGCATGAAGTTTACTGAACTTGCCTTGTCACTAGAATTGCAATGATTTTAGGCCTCATTGTCATAGAGACCTCAAGCCCTCCAAGGCTAGACTTTTAGGGAAGGTGATATGATTGAAAATAGTTGTTCCAGTGGAAGGGAAGTTGACAGGGAGGGAGTATGGTTCTTTACCCAAATTCCAGGACCTTTGAATTTGTTCGTCCTAGCAGGCACAGACTCCATAATATCTCATCACATAATGCATACTATTGCAGGGAACATATTGTAGCTAAATATTACTGAGTAGCAGTTTTGCTTCATTTTCTCTTCACTTTTCTTTTGAGCTGCAGCTTCCCTGAGAAACACATATACAAATTTTCCAGAATATGCAGTATGTCAGAAATCTGGCAGGTCTTTTGATAGAGTTCTCACATTTCACTGGTTCTGTAATCAAAAATGCATGTGAAACTCATTTTATAGATGAAGAACCTGAGGCCTACTGGCCATGGGATCTTCTCAGGATTCCTTTGTGGTAAATGACAAGGCCAGGACCAGACTCTCTGTGTGAGGTCATCTAGAGGCTACCCTGTTCCCATTCCTCCCAGCCTGAACTCAACTCTGTTTCTGAATTCATTTCTGTTTTTAGAGAAATAAAAAAAATACCTCTCAGGGTGTAGGAAGTTCCTGTGTCCAAAGCACTGAACCCTGGCCTGAATTAAGAATGAGCAGGTAATAGGTACACCCTGCTCCCAGGGGAACTGCCCAGAATCACCTGCCTTCACCTACGGCAGGTGGAAGGCCCTGCCTGGCACTTTACTTACCATGGAAGCCCTCCAATAGCAGCAGCCTTTTGACGTAAAAGTTAACTTTGGACTATGATGCTTAGACCCTGAGTTCTGTGCCTGAGAAGCAAAATAACAGCTTTCCCAAATGGGTGGTAAGTGGTTTGACCTGGAACATTATATACTCCTTGTCCTGGCTGGTAAATTGGGGTAGATTTTGAGACCATCTTGACAATTTTGTAGGCTTTTAATGGAATGAGTCACTGAGAAAGGTTCCCATAACATGTGCAGGTGCATGGGCTTGTGTGGGTGGTCAAACCCCAAATCTCCCTGAGAAGCTGTAGGTGAGGCAGGACCACGCTCACCATAGTATTAAAAAGAAATTCATCTACTGTGGCTAAATTTCTCTAAACTCTGAAGTCTTCTATACTACTGTCAGTAAATACTTCTTTGTTGCTCTTAAAAGAAAAAAAAAAATAAAAACACTTTCTGTCTCTAGTCTCTAGTCTCTGTCCCTCCACACAGGTAACTCGTGATAGTCAATATACCTAATGCTGTTACAGAAGGAATCAGTAAGTGACACACAGAGAGGCAGCAGAATAGAAGTAAAATAAAAATTTACTCATCTATAAGGGTCAATCGCACTTAAGCCGTGCCTGGATCGATGCCACATTGGGTTACAACTCCTCCGTTTATAGGGTTTCAAAGCCTTGACTTCATTTGGGCGGATACATTTCATTCTCACAGTTCAAATCACAGTCACAAAATAGTTAACTTTCAACCCAAATGTAACAGTTCTTTGCAGTTGGGGAGTTTACCTTTAAGGTTCGCCCAGTCATCTATTCTAGTCCATAGCAAGGGGGTGTTCAGGGTCAGGGGAGCAGATGTTAGCAATGGGTTCTTTCATCTAGACACTGTTACTATCATGTGGCTTCAGTCTCTCCCGAGCTCAAGGTCTTGATGTGCCCTGTTGTCTCAGAGTAAGGCCAAATGCCTCATTCAGCAATTAGTGCCTTTGGTGCCTATTAGTTCTGAGCAAAACAAAATAAACTGCTGTTAGAGACAGCAGAAGCCATTTTACACTATATATAACACTTTGTAGGTTTTTGCTATTTATAAAAGTTTTCCCTATCAGTGCCACTAGGTCTGGTGTTCAGAAAAAGACAGACATGTGCTCTTTAGGAACAACTCATAGGGTTAGCAGACTGGCCATGAAACCAAAGATAGGAGGAAATTCTCAGCCTGCTAAGACTGGAGGGTATCATGAAGGGAAGGGCTGACAAGTGCTAATGAATGAAGAACAGGTACCTGTTATCGAAATGGGATTGATACTTTTTTATTTTTATTTTTTGGTACCAGGGATCAAACTCGGGCCCTTGCATTTGCAAGGCAGGTGATGGAAACACTGGGCCAAATCCCTGGCCTGAGATTGGTACTTTTTCTGAACATCTGTTGCATAGTGGGTAGCACTTGAAAAGGCTGGAAAGTTTCCATGCTTATTTCACCTTCTCAATAAATCCTCCCAGAGGGGGAGAATGTTATCTTAACCAATTGTTTTGTTGCATTTGGTTTAGCATCTACTATGTAAGTGCTTAGAGTGAAAGTACAAATTCTCAATATCACACAGCTTGTCTTCCTCACTTTGTTTGACTCATGTGAGCATGATACATGCTGTGTCCTTAGGAAGGGTCATTAAATGAACCTGAGCCATTAAAATTTTAGCAGAACCATTACTTATTTGTTACAGCCATTTCTATACGAGGTGCTACAAGAGTCCTGGATTAATCCTGTGTTTGCACTCCTAGGAGGTTCACCCATTTGTGTTTACTCCTTGGACAGGAGCAAGCTGATTCTGTCCCTTGAAGGCCCTGGGCAGGAGCCACCCCACAGATTCTGACTGAAGGGTTTCCTTCATGCCGCCCACACCCTACAGGCTCCTGGGCACACCTGTCAATCCCAGGAGAGCTGTGACATCTTCTCCAGTGTGATGGCAGGTGGTGGCCCAAATCTGCCAAATCCCTGTGCTGACGGGAGGTTTCCTCCTCCTGTTGCTGTGCCCCATTGCCTGCCCTCTCCTGCACCTGACCTCAGCCTGCCCAGGTCGGAACGTTCTGCTCTCTGTGTCCCTGCTCCCACCTGCTCGGTCCAAGACAGGACCTGGTGCTGATGGTAACAGGTAACTATCTCTACCTGAAGATCTTTGATAACAGTTGTTAGGAATTTGTTTACACTCATTTTCATTTCACTCAATTTTTTTAGACTCATTTATACTTTTGGCCTCTAGAATTTTAAGAGAATAATGTCCCTATTTCACAACTATGGCGTGGCACACAGGATGAGAGATTACTCAAGAGTCCATGTCCAGTTTTACCTCCAAAAGGGCCCAGAGGGGTTGCCTTAACTGAGACCACTCAACCTAAGAGTGACTCTGGAGAAAACAGCCCCAATCTGAAGATTCTGCGGATTTTTATCGATAGGACCAGGAATCAAAGATAAAGGACAAAGAAGGACACCTGTGCAGGAATTCATGCGGACGACAGAGGAATGAGAGGGTAATGCAAGGGTAATGACAGGGT